GGCGTATTCTCTTAGCTACTTCCTGCTGAAAAGGGATGCTGTGGGTTTCAGGGTGGAGATCTTCTCGCACTACTCTAAAGGGCCCCTTTGGCAGTAGGAAACACATAGACTGTTAGGGAGTACTCCACAATTCTAAGCAAATCCTTTGCTTTATAAATATTTATAAAGTAAGCAATTGCTTTGAAAAGGCTTATGTGCATTATCACAAGTAATGATGCACATTGGGTATTATAGCTCTTTGGATTTTTAAGAAGCAGAGTTTTCTGAAAAATATTTCAATTAATAAGGAATAAGTTGAGCCACAAAAGATTAAGGGGAAAGCTGACCCAATAACTAGGAATACTTATTGAAAAGTATAAAACACTTTTTTCTTCTTGCTAAATTCTTTTTTTTTTTTTAACACATGCCTCACAAACAGCAAATCCCTAAAAAGTCAAGTATCCCAAACCTTGAAGTAAGACATCTCTGGGTGCATCCTTGCTGTTTGGTCTAGTGTTGGATTTTGGGAAAACATGTTTTTTATGTCCCTTGCGAAAGACAACTTGACTGTCTGGTCGTCTTTTCTCTGAAGTGGAAAAAAAAAAAAAGAAAGAAACAACAGTAAATTACCAATTAGAAATTATCTGATTCTTGTTGTCAGTTTAGCTAGTCTTTTTGTAAGCAATTACTACTAGGAAATGAGACCTTTCCAGTAGAACGTTCTGGTCTTGAATGGCCAGGCACATACAGGTTGGGGAAGTCTGTGTGGGAACGGAAGTGTTGAATATTAACGAAAGTTAGTAAGGGTTATGGACTGTAATAACACATGGCATCTCTCTATGTTTCCAGAGTTTAGAGCCTGTCTAATAGGATAAGTGAGAGGGATAGATGAAGTTTCGTCACCCATTACACTACGGAGCAATTCACCTCACTTACTTTGAGTAAATTGTCAGGAGAAACCATCCTTGGAGTGAGCTATCATGCTAAAGAAGGGACGGAGTTAGTGAGAGAGGGAAGACCCTCAGTGAAATGTATCCACACAGTGACTACGACAATGGTCTTGAGCAGGACCAGAAATCACAAGGCTGGTACAGGAGAAGGCAAGGTTCAGATTTGTCATTCATAAGGTTGTTATGAGTTCTAGTCTAACTGATGGCACCAAAAACAACAATAATGAGATGAGAGAAAAAAAAATATATATATATAATCATCAGTCAAAAGAGGCTGGAGAGTTGTTGTACCACCAACAGTGTATAAGAGTTCCTATCTCACCACATCTTCTCCAACATTTATTATTTGCTGTCCTGTTAAATTTTGTCACTGCTACTGGAGTGAGATAGATGGTATCTCACTGTGGTTTTGATTTGCATCTCCCTTACTGCCAGTCATTTGGAGCATTTCTTCACATGTCTGTTGATCATCTGAATATCTTCCTCTGTGAAAATTCTCTCCATGTCTTTCCTCCATTTTGTAATTGGGTTATCAGTCTCCTTTCTTGTGGAGACCATGTAGGATTCCGTAAACTTTCAATATGAGACCCTTGTCTGAGATGGTATTGCCAAATGTTTTTTTCCCAGTCACTAGCTGTTCTTTTCAATCTGTTGGAAAATGTTTTTGATGTGCACAGGTATGTAATCTTTAGAAGGTCCCATTCATTAATTTTATCCTCTCCAGATTGTGCATTTCTGGCTATATTTAGCAGTCTCTTATTACTATAGACTAGGCCATCTGAGATTGATCCCAGTTTGTCTCTGATGAACTTTGTTTTGGACTTTACTCCCAGGTCTCCGATCCACCTTGAGTTGATTTTTGTGTATGGTGTGAGAGATATGGATCCAACCACTCGAGAAGGCAGTTTGGTGCTTTCTTAAAAAGCTGAACACAGAAATTCCATATGACCTAACAATTCCACTGCTTGGAATATACCCCAAGAGAATGAGAACTGAGGCACAAATGAAGATTTGTATACCAGTGTTCATATTATTTATCATCACAAGAACATTGAAACAACCATCATCACAAGAACATGGAAACAACCCAAATGTCCAGCTAGAACTGAATGGATTGAGAAATTATGGTACATTCACAGGATGGAATACTACACAGCATGCAGGAGCAATGAATTTGTAAATTATGACCTAATTGAGAAGGACTGGAGGGCATTATGATAAGTGAACTAACTACGTCCCTAAAAAATATTATATAAGACCATTATTGTAGAATCAATAGGAGGATCCAAGGTGGGGAGGTTGGAAACAGAGGGGTGAGGATGAGTGGTGGCGCTTAATCACAGGGTCACACAATTTGATGGGTGGAGGCAGGTAGTGAAGGAAATGGGAAAGATTCAGTTTGAAGGACAATGTATTAAAACTTTATAAATAAACCAGTATTAAAAAGAGGCTGGAAAAAGCAGATTGGTCTGATATTTATGTGCTGTGCATTGGAGAGTTGGGCAGTGAACAGGGATGACAGAAAGAGAATTGATGCCTTTGAACTGTGGTGCTGGAGAAGAGTGTTGAATATACCACAGACTGCTAGAACAACAAATGGGTTTGTCCTGGAGCGGGTGAAACCAGAATGCTCCTTGGAGTCAAGGATTCTGAAGCTTCGTCTGACATACTTTGGGCATGTTGCAAGGAGGGACTGGTCCTTGGACAGGGACAACTTGTTTGGGAGAGTGGAGGGACAGAGAAGGAGAGGAAGAACCTCGATGAGATGGACTGATTTTGAGTGGAGTGGTGGAAATGAGTGTGTTTGAGACGGCGAGGTTGGCACAGGATAGAACGGCATTTAGGGCTCTTGTGCATAGGGTCGCTATGAGTTGCAAGTGACTCAACGGCACATAACAACAACAACGACAACAACTAATAGTAATTTTGAGCAATTTTTTCCCCATCTCTTTGTTGACCATGTGACTTTCTTCTTTGGTGATGTGTCTGTTTATATCATCTGTCCATTCTGTGATTGGGTTGTTTGCCTTTTTCTTGTTGAGATGCAAGAGTAGCCTACGAATTTTAGATATAAGTCCCTAATCAGAGATGCCATTGTCAAATATCTTCTCCTAGTCTGTGGGCTTCCTTTTTGTCCTATTGGGGAAGTTTTTTGATGTGCATAAGGCCTCATCCATCACTTTTCTCATCTCCTTGTCACAGAGGTTTTTTATTATGTTTAGAAATCTATTCATGCCATAAATTACGGCTACCAGAATTTTTCCTAGTTTTTCTTCTGATGAACTTCATAGTCTTTGGCTTTACTCATAAGTCCCTTATCCACCTTGATCTGGTTTTTGTGTATGGTGTGAGGTGAAGGTATTGCTTCAGTTTTCTTCAGATGTTTTCCCAATTTTTGAACACTATTTGTTAAAGAGGCTGTTATTATTTTGTACCATTGTTGAAGATCAGGTATAAGTGTTGATTTGAAGGAACTTCTTAAGCAAGAGAGAGATATCCAGAGCAAAACTGAGAATACCATGAAGATTCACAAGTAGCGATGGAGAGAAGTCAGACACAGGACTAGGGATGCTCAGATGGCATGGGAAGTAGTCAAGAATCAAACAAGTTTTGGCCTAGCTACTCTGTTGAAGCACTTCTGTTCTGAGATCTTCCAAGATCACAGAGACACATTGGAAAGTGTCACGTGGAAAGAGTGATAGACTGTGCCTTTCTGATCAGTACTGACAGCCAGCTCATGAGGGGTCATTTGTAGAACACTGAAAGATGAGACTATATATTTGGGCACTAGTCTAGGAATCCTGGTGACTCATGGTTAAATGCTAGGATCCTAATGGAAAGGTTAGTGGTTCAAAACCGTGGAGCTGCTATGTGTGAGAAAGACCTTGGTGATCATCTCCTGTAAAGATAATACCCTATATAACTCTACGCAGGGTCACGTGGTGTTGCAATGACCAGACGCCTGACTCAATGACATTCAACAGTAACAGAAAGTGCAAACTTTCTATGAGCGTTGGGTTTGCTCATTTATATAATGGGACTGAAAACTATTACCAGAAAAGCTGTGCTACATAAAAAGCAAAAGCATTAATGACCATCAAGACTCTCTGAGTATGACAATGATTCCATCTCCCTGTCCTGGCACTTCTAATCTTTGCATGTCTCTGGGCTCCTCTAACTGTCAAGAAAGAAAACATAAAGTTTATGATGATCTTTTGATTCAGTCGGGAACTCTCTAATGCCATGCAGGACTTTCAAGCTTTCAATCTGGTGTTCATGAGGTTGCTATGACTTATAGTCAACTTGGTAGACAGAACCTGGCAACAACAATTCTGCTAATGAATCTGTTTAATTAACTCATGAAACACTTCTGTAATACCCTAGTAAGTGCTAGGAACACAGAGCAATAAATGCTCCTTTGACCTCCGTCTGATTGATTTCTGTGACTAACTTTGCATTGGCTCTTCTGGTAGCAAAGAAAATGTCACTTATTGAGTCTTAAAACTCCAGCAACTTAAAGCCCATGCTTTGGTAAGAGTTTGAAGAGTTATAGGTATTATCCCAATCAGATAAGGAAAGCCAGCCTACTATCCTGGACCAGGAGACACATAGTAATGACCTTTTCCAAGTAGTGACCTGACACGCAGGTGTTTTAAGACTCAATAAATTGCTTCGTATTGAGCACTTACTATGCTATTTGCACTATATTTATTATTCCTCAGTGTTGCAAAGGAAACTTCAGGCATAATTTCTACCATCGAAGGGGCCAAAGTTTAAGTGAGAATGTAGAAACCAATGAAGAATCAGAGTAATATGTGTCAGCAATTATTCAGGTACCATAGGGTGAGTCCAGGAAAAGGAGAAGTCAAGGGAAATCAGCAAAGGATTTAGTAGTGAGAAGTGATTCAATTGGTTCTACAATACAGGAGGAACTGAGACAATGGTAAGACAGGCAGGGAAGGACTTATTCCTTCCCATGGGAGAGCTGTACGTCTAGAAACTCCAAAGAGGGAAAATGTATGATGGTTTGTGTGTATGGATTGAGTTTCTCTATGCGAATGTTAGGAGTCAAACAAATGTAGTTAAGGATGACATAAGAAGAATTGGTGCCGTTGAGTTGTGGTGTTGAGGAAGAGTACTGAATATTCCATGGACTGACAAAAACCATATGTCTTGGAGGAAGTTCAGCCAGAGACACAAGAATAGTAAGGCATCAGATCACATGCAGTGGGTCTACTGTTAGAAGGGGCTAGTCTTTGGAAAAAGATCATGCTTAGAAAAGTGGGGGGTCAGCAAAAGAGAGGAAGATCCTCAATGAGATCAATTGACACAAAAGGTTCAAGTGTGTCAGAGATGATGCTAGGTTTTTAGGTGCTTTTGGGTTGAGTATGACTCATAGCAATCCTATGAATAACAGATCTGAACCCTGTTCTATCCTGTGCCGTTCTGATACTTCCTGACACATTAAAGCCCATTGTGGCAGTATGTCCATCTGGTTGAGGGTCTTCCTCTCCTTCACTGACCCTCTACCTTTCTAAGCATCATGTCCCTCTCCAAGGAATAGCTCTCCCTTAGCAACATGCCCGCAGAATGTAAGGCAAAGCCTCATCATCTTTGCCTCTAAAGAGAACTCTGGCCGCACCCTCTATAGGACATATTTGTTTGTTCTTTTGGCTGCCCATGGGATGTTCAGTGCTCTTCTCTAACACCACAGCTCAGAGGCATCAATTCTTCTGTCATCCTGATTCATGCTGATGAGGATGGCACAAGATAGGACAGTTTGGATCTACTGCTCATAGGGCTACTATGAGTCATACTCAACTCAGTGGCACCTAACACCAACAACAGAGGAAAAATGTTTCGAAAGGCATCTGAAAATATGGGCAGAGCAGTTTATGTCCCAGGGTAGGTTTTTTGCAGAAGAGTAATATTGAGAAAGTGCAAACTTCTTAGTTAAGAAAGAGCAGAATTATTCTAAGAAAGTGTTAGCATTTAGAATTATTATCAATGCATATTTGCACGTGGCAGTGGTCCATTATCTAAAACCAGCACATTAATTTCTGATTCCAGAATGAAACAAGTAAACACACAAAACAAGAAAAATGTGCTCTCTTTTGTACATGTTGTAGGAAAGACTTGAGAAGAAGCTGGAACTTGCCACTCACCCAGCAAGTGAAGTACGGAGGCTGCCATGGCCTTTCCAAGAGCATTGGTGGCTGTGCAGACGTAGGTTCCTTCACTTTCAAGGGAAACATTCTGCAACAACAGGGATCCATTGAAAAGCAAGGGAACATTGTCATTCAGAGATCTTCCTCTCTTCAACCAAGTTACATTGGGCTGAGGGACACCTTGGGAGCAAAAACAAATATGACACAGGCAATGCCTTTAAGAACTAGGCTACAGAACCATGTGACAAAAGCCATTTAGTATTTTGACTGTTATTGTTAAGTGCTGTCAAGTCAACCACAACTCATAGTGATCCTATGAACAACAGCTCTGAATGTTACCCAATATATAGCCAACTTCACCATCTCTTACACACTGTCCCCATTGCCACAGTCACTGAGTCAATCCATCTCATCCAAGATCTTCCTCTCCTGTGCTGACCTTTCCTCATTCCAAGCATTTTTAAGCCAAATACTACAATATAAACTGGTTGTTGTTGTTATGTGCTGTTGAATTGCTTATGACTCATAGAAACTCTATACACAATCACTTTAAACCCTGTATTCTCCTGAGTCAATCTCATTGTCTCTGGCACACCTACCCCCATTACCCAGGTACTGAGTCAATTCATCTCATCCAGGCTCTTCCTCTCCTGTGCTGACCATTCATCTTTCTGAGCATGATGTCCTTCTCCAAGGACTGGTCCCTCCTGGCAACATGCCTAAAGTATGTGAGCTGGAGCTTCAAAAACCTAGCTTCCATGGAGCAACCTTATTTCACCCTGCTCAGGACAAACCTGTTTGTTCTCTTGGCAGTCTATGATAGGTTCTATTCTCTAGGACCACAACTCAGCAAATATGTTTCTCACAAAATTAGGGAAAATGGCTGTTTCTGTCTCTACAGCTCTTCTGGGATAGGTTGGGATCCTGTTAAAGCAAAGGGCTGTGTTTTCCTGAGAACCTGGTGGGTTTATGTTTCCACATTATGGAATAGGGATCATGGACCAAGATTGCTCTATATTAAATTTGGGAGAGAAATAGTGTCGTTGATGACAGAATGGATGGAAAAGCATGTGAGGCTGGGTACTCAGCATGGAAGGAGATAAAGAAATTGTCCAGGGTAGGTTACCACACAGAAATCTTTGGAAAACAAAGATATGTAGTATGACACTTTAAGCTGTTCATTGTGCATATGCAATTAAATGTTCTTTCTTCAGAAATAATATGAAATCTTCAGGGTAATATGTATTGTGTAGTAGTACTTTGGGAAAAGATAATATGCCCAAAACGTATGAGGCCAAGTATTTATCTCTAAAACAACAAGGACCTTACATCAGATTCAACCGTGAAAGAAATCTTTCCCCTGCAGTTGCTTTAATTCATCCTTAATTCACACTTCCAGCCTCCTCTGGTGGCCTAGTGGTAAGAAGCTATGCTGTGATCTTGATGGCACACGGTTCAAATCAACCAGGTGCTCCGCAGGAGAAAGGCATGACAATGTTTTCCTGTGAGATTAACTACCTCTGAAAACCTGCTGGAGGGTCAATCAGTTATGGGTCTGTTCCGACTTTATGGCACACAACAACAGCGACAGACTGTGTAAGGAGTATGCTGTCAACCCACAGGCAAGGGATAGAATCCACTAGCTGGTCCTCCAGAGGAGAAAGAAAGATGGGCAATATATTCCCATGTGATTTACAGCCTCAGAAAACTGCTGGAGGTTCAGTTATTAATTGGTTTCAATTTGACAGCATAGAACAACAACAATTGCATAGGGAGTTCTGGTGGCTTAGTGGTAAGGAGTTGCGCTGCTAATCCAGAGGCAGGCAGTTGGAATCCACCAGCTGCTCTGTGTGAGAAAGATGGAGAATCTTCTCCTGTGATATTTACATGCTCTGAAAATCCACTGTGTGGTCAGGTATAAGTCAATCCCAATTCAACAACACATTACAACAACATGAAGCTCAGTAAGAACAAATTTTTGTTTGTTAAAGTAATTTATTTGTAATAGTTCTGTTATAGTATCACTAGATGACTAAGATTCAGTTACTGTGGGTAAAAAAAAAAATCTACTGGTTGACATCAGACAAGAATGATATTTTTATTCCTGCCTCTCTCTTGGCTGCTTGAGGAATCCTGTTAATACAGTGACTAAAATTCAACTGTACGACCTAGCTATTTCACTACTAGTAATATACCGCAAGGAAATTAGAACTGAGACACAGAGATTTGTACATCAATGTTCGCAGCAGCATTATTCACCATTGCAAGAACATGGAAAACAACCCAAATGTCCAGCCACAACTAAATGGATTGAGAAACTGTGGTACATTCACACAATGGACTACTATGCAGCACTCAGGAGCAATGATTTTGAAAAAATATTACGTAACTTGGGAGAGGCTGGTGAGCTTTATGCTGAGTGAACTAACACAGTCTCATAAGAACAAATACTGCATAAGACCATTACTGTAAAAATAGAAGAATAACTAGTATAGCACATATGGGAACTCAAGGTGGGGAAAGGGTGAGAGAAGAGGGGTGAGGATGGGTAGGGTGAAACCACAGGGTTACACAGTTCGGTGGGTGGAGGGAGGGGGATAAGGAAAGGGGAAGGATCTGGGCAAAAAGACAGGGTAATGATGGGCAAGGTCCAATGGTGATTAATTTTATAAAACGGTGCATAAGAATGATTGTCGGAAACACAATATGAAAGAATAGTATGAAACACAATATATACAAACTTTGTAAGCAAACCAATTAAAAAACAAAACCAAAAACCCCCCTCTCACTGTTAGCTAAGAGGCTGGTAGTTGGAACCTCCTCACAACTCTGAAGAAGGAAGGTGTGACAGTCTGTTTCTGTAAACTGGACAGCAGCAGGCATTGGGTTTGTTTGGAGTTTTGTCTGTGGTGGGGTTTTTATTGTTGTTCTCATTTTTCTGCTTTAATTTTGCTTTTCTACATTTTATTTTGGGGCACAGCACAGATTCGTTCTGAAAACATGTTTGTTTTGTTTGTTTGTTCCCCCCCCCAGTGACTGCTGTTCTTTATGCATTTACTGAGTATAAGTTCAATTTTTGCTGTGGCAGTAGCATCGCCTTAAAGTTCTGACTGATTCGGATCTCTGATGAGCAGAAAATCCTTGTGGCCCCTAGCAGTTCATACTTGGCATCTCTTTCATGTACTTTGGTATTTTTCAAATGGTAATGTTAGAAAGGGTAGGTCAAACATCTTTATTTTCGGCCCAAAGACCCCAGAATTGAAATTGCAGCTTCCTGAACATCTCAGGCCATTTTGCTCAGAAATGTCAAAAGTGAAGTTGAGGGATTATATGAAATTATCTGTTGAGATCCCTTTCAGCTCTGAGATGCACATGATATTTATCCTTTCATTCACTTAACCACTCTTTTATATATTTATCCAACCCAGATATATTATGTGTCTTCAAGGACCAGCACTCCTTCATAGCATTATCAGTGCATTAATCTCGACTCTCTCCAGTAGACCAGGAGCCTGTCATTCCTGGCACGGTGAAGGCACTAGATGAATATTTCTGAAGGCATGAAAGAAAACATGGAAGGCATCTACAAGAAGAAAATATTATTATATCCCACAGATAAATCAATATGACTCTTTGGCTGCCCCTAGCAACGTTTTCTTTCAAACATCAAAAGAACGAGAATGCTTAAACTATGGTAGAAGAGAAAATAAAAGATCATAAATACAGGTTATTATTTTCAATGAATGTTAATTTAAAGAAAGATTGTACAAGTTTAAATTAAGTCCCCTTAAATATTGTGAGAAGAGTGAAAATAGTTCCAGAAGGTCTTTCACTCAGTTCATTAGCCCCAACAACATAAAAACACTGGGTAAAGAATAATAATGGTTATTTATTAATGAAGAACTAAATAATTCTCCACTAAATAATTCTTACTTAAAGACTAAAAAAGCAGAAAACAGTAAAATACCCAGGTATACCAGAAAATACTAGAAAGATGCTTACCTACATTTTATTGATTATGGAAAGGCCTCTGTGGATTGTAACAAATATACTTGTAACAAAGATGACTTGGGGGAAAATGAGAATCCAAGAACACTTAATTGTGCTCATGTAGAACCTGTACATAGACCAAGAACCAGTCATTTGAACAAAACAAAGGGACATTTTATGGTTGAAATCAGAAAAGAACTGTGTCAGGGTTGTATCATTTCACCATACTTATTCAACTGGGATGATATAAAATAATCCAAGATTTTAAACTATATGGAAAAAGAAGGCTTATCAGGATTGGAAGAAGACTCACTAACAACTCTGCTTATTGAAAATGAAGAGGACTTGAAATACTTGCTGATAGACACGAAAGACTACTACAATCCTTTGGATTATTGTTGTTGTTTATGTGTTGTTGAGTCATTGATGACTCACGGGGACCATATGAATAATGGCTCTGAATCTTACCCTATCCTGAGTCAAACTCACCATTTCCAACAAACTTGACTCAATTGCTACACTGTGCCATTTAAATTTTTTTAAATTAAATCGTTTTATTAATGGTTTTTAAATGCAACATACTTTGTTTACAGCATATTCTTTCCATTTATTTTCCCCCATTCATTCATTGTTGCACATTTTCCTCCCTGCCCACCACTCCCCAGTTAGTTTTTCTCTTTGAAGAAAAGAAAAAAATCCTTCATTGTTACACATTTCCCCCCTCCCTGAGTCCACAGTCCACTTTAATATGTATTTCTTTTTCTGTAATCTTGTCATGAAAATAATACCTAATCCTGTCATTTTGCCAAGGGTTTTCTTCCTTCCCATT